GGGTCCCTGGGGCTCAGCCTGTGCCCCATTGCTGGGCAGGGGCTGAGCCCCACCTCTGCCTCGGGGCCTTGGCCAAAGGGCTGGCAAGGAAGAGGCCCAGCAGCCTTGGGGCCTGCCCAGCTTTCCTCCTCCCTGGGGGCTCTCAGTCCTCCCCTGACACCGTGTGGGCCCAAGGCCTTGCTGGCTTCGGGCTCACGGCCCGCCGGCCCCATCCCAGCGGCCTGACCCCCCTCCTTCCCCTCTCTCCAGCCTCTCCTGCCTTTGCTGGCAAGGGGCCATCCAAGGAAAAGCCCGGTTCTCAGCAATGGCACCTGTGGCAAGGCTGCAAGGCTCGAGTGGGCCAGGCAAGAGCAGGAGCAGCGAGAGCCTGAGGAGCCAGGAGATGCCCTGGCTGGGCATCGTGCTGCTGCGGGACGAGCTGACACCTCTGCACAGTCTCTGCCCGTCCCTGCCAGCCGACTTCTGCCCAGGCTCTGGGCACGGGGACGCAGCACTGACAGTTTTCAGCCCCCGCGCTGTTCCACAGAGGCTGTGATGTCACAAGGCCCTTGCCTGGCAGCCAGGAGATGGGCAAGGCAAGGCAAGGACGGAGCCTCGGAGCCACCAGCACGCTGTCCCCAAAGGCTGGGCTGGCACAGAAGCCCAGAGTCCCTGAGCTTGGCAGAGACTTGTGAGATCAACCGGGGTCCATCCTACGCCCCATCCCCAGCACGTCAAGCAGACCACGGCACTCAGTGCCATGGCCAGGCTTTGCTTAAACACCTCCAGGGACGGTGACTCCACCACCTCCCTGGGCAGCCCATTTCAATACCTAATCCCTGTTTCTCTCCAAAAAGTCCTGCTCCTGTCCCTGACAAACAGCCCCTGACAGGCAGGTCCTCGTGTCCTCTTGTCCTGTCGCCTGTTGCCTCGGAGAAGGGCTGACCCCCACCTGGCTCCAGCCTCCTGTCAGGAAGTTGTGGACAGGGAGAAGGTCAGCCCCGAGCCTCCTCTTCTCCAGGTTGGAGAAGCCCAGCTCCCTCAGCTGCTCCTCACAGGCCATGCACTGCAGACCCTTGCCCAGCTCCATTGCCCTGCTCTCCACCCACTGCAGCCCCTCAAGGTTCTCCCTGAATTGAGGGGCCCAGAGCTGGACACAGCACTCCAGGGGTGGCCTCACCAGTGCCCAGTCCAGCAGAAGCATCACTGCCCTGCTCCTGCTGCCACACTCTTTCTGATCCAGGCCAGCCTGCCCTTGGCCTTCTTGCCCACCCGGGCACCCGCTGGCTCAGGTTCAGCCTCTGTCCACCAGCACCCCCAGGGCCTCTCCCACGGGGACCCTTTGCAGCTCCTCTGCCCCCGGCCTGGAGCTGCAGGGGGTTCTTGTGACCAGAGGCCCCAAAGGCACCAAAGGCACTCTTGAACCTCATGCCCACGGGCTCGGCCCAGAGGTCCAGCCTGTCCAGGTCCCTCTGCACAGCCTTCCTACCCTCCAGCACATCCACACTGCAAGCCAACTTGGGGTCCTCTGCCAATTTGCTCCTGGAAGACTCAATGCCCTCCTGCACATCCCCACGAAAAATAGGCAACAGGACTGGGCCTGTGTAGTGGTTTGAACCTTGTTTTCCCCAGAGGCTAAGAGAAGTGGTAGACCCCAAGGGGTGGAAACCCCTGGAAGTTTTGAAGTTCTGCCCAATGGGCGCTCCTGCAGAAATGTAAACATATCACAACCAGACCGGAAAAGAAGAGTTGTAGTTTTGGTTGTTGGAGGAGAGGTGGCCATGTTGTAGAGCCACGAGGAAGGGGCTCTGAGCCCCTTGGCCCTCTGGGGCCTCCCAGCCCCTGGCTGGGGGCTGCAGGGACCTGGAACAGCATAAAGCTGGGCTAGGTGCCTGTAGTATGCCGGGAGATGTTTTCTCCATGGGCACAGAGCAGCAGCCGACGCTGACCAGAGAAACAGTGGCAGAGAGCCAGAGATAAGAACCTGAACTGAAGAAGCAGCAGAAGCAACATGCAGCACTGCAGAGGAGACTCCTGGAAGGAGAGTCGAGGAAAGGAGAGCCAGCAGCTGAGAGCTACAGAGTTCTTGGGGGTAAGACTGATACCAGATCCCCAAAACTCCTTTGAGACCTCCTGGAAGGAGGAAGATGATGGACTCTTACTTGAAAGAGCCTTGAAGTGTGACATGCACTATAGAAAGGAGCTAGAGAGCTCCGAGAGGAATGCAGGGGGAGTTGACCTTGGCTTCCCCCCCCTCGCACTGCTGCCACGGTGGCAGCCTGAGAGGCAGGGCACAGAGGCCCTGCAAGAGATACCAGACCGTCACGAAGACTCCCCTGTGTCTTCGTGATATGACGTGGTGAAACGACCTTGTCTGGGGTTACGAAGCCCACGGAAGACCCCTCGGTTGTGAGGCGATGGGGCCGGGGGAGCTTGAATACCTCCCTCGTGGACGCTGGCAGAAAACCAGCTATCAGCTGCTGCATGAGATGAGAAGAAACCTGCTGCCTCAGAAGATGCTGCTGTTCAGAGACTGGAAGGGATCTGTCCTTCTTTCCCTCCTGGACTTTTATTTGGAGGGGAGAAGAGATCTGATCCATTGTAAATACTATATGTCATGGTAGAGATAGTTTCCAGTCTTTCCCCCACTTTGGAGTCTGGTGTGTTTTGTCTGGAAAAACCTCTCTCACATTAGGTTGAGATGTGGGAGGGGGGGATGGAGCTAGGGAATTGGATTTTGGGACTATCTCAAACCATGACAGCCTGTTACCCAACAAGTTCTAGTGCTTGACAAAGGAGCCCACCCAGCAGTGGGGAGAAACTGCTGGCAGGAGATTGAATGGGGGCAATAGACAATGGATGATGGACAAGTTCTGGGCCATGGTCATTTGTTAGAAAAACAAAGTAAAAGCTTAAGGCCTGCCATATTTCAGTGGTCAGAGACCTGGCAGAGAAATCTCTTTTTGAGACCTGGACCCCAAGAAGGCAAAATTTCTAAACCACAAAGACCCTTAGAGAAACCAGAGACAAAGAAAAAACTAACACAGATAGTTACTGAGGCTCTCCCTATCCAGGGAAAAGACAACAAAAGGACAAAAATTGTGGACTAAGTATCATGCAAAGTGAGAAATCGAGAGCCAATAGAAGAGAGAAGAAGAATTCCTGCAGAGAACTGGTAAGCCAATGGACAGGAATTCCTTTGTCTGCTAAAATGTAAAAAGAGTTAAAAGTTTTGAGAACTGATGTACAGGTGTTAGAGAGCAATTGCTGTGTCCCTTCAGCGCTGAATGAAGTAGGGTCACCTCTGGAACCCAACCAACTGCTCAGAGATTTTATTCTCTGGCTTTCACTGACAGTTTCTGGGGACCCAGAGGAGACAAAGCAGCGCCGACAGGGCAGAGCAGAGGAATCGTTGGCCCTGCAGCGTGTACCAAAGGAGTTTTGGGGAGATCTTCCAGTTCCCTGGTCTGGAGAGGTCACCACGCCTTCTTTTCTGGGAAAAAGAACAGGCCATGAATTTTGGGTCCTTGATTTTAAGGCCTTTTGCCTGCACATAAGGCACAGCAATGGGAAGGACGCAGCGTGAGGCTGAGAGGTTTCTGTCCTGGTTTGTGGGCTTGGGTGAGATTGGGCCAGAATTACAGGACACCTGTAAAATCTGGGCTTTGGGAAAGGTTGGGGAGGGTTGGGAAAGGTGTTCAAAGGGTGGTTTTGCCTGAGGTGTTAAACATGGGAGTGGGTCTGTCTTCCCAATTCCCAAGAGAAGAGATCCCAGAAAGCTCCCCTGCAGGTTGTGTTTTAAGGCACAGGAAAAGAGACCGAGGGTAAGAGGTTTCTTTCCTGGAGGGCAGGGCTGTTGTTCACTTGCAGGAGCCCTGAGCTGAAATTGCCAGTCTGACTGCCCAAACTGAACACAGCTGAAGATTCCTGCCAGACAAAAAGGGCCAGCACAGAAAGCTCTTGCTGCCCATGGAGTGCCCAGGGTGGCCCCCCAACTGCATCTGAAACCCAAAGGTTCCAGGCTTTCTTTCCTGGGGGAAAGGCCGTGACATCCCAAAGAGTCCCGTGGCAGACAGGTGGGGCTGCACTGTGGGGGTGTGAGGTGTTGGTTCTTTGGTTTCCAGGGGCTGTTCCAGAATGGAGAGGACAGGCTGTGACATCACAAAGGGGCCCATGGCACAGGGGTTGGGCTGCACTAGGGGCTGTGAGACATTGGTGTTTTGGTTTCCAGCAGCCATTCTGGAATGGAGGGGATAGGCCGTGACATCACAAGAGGGCCCATGGCACAAAGGTGGGGCTTCACTTTGGGGTTGTAGGGTGTTGGTTCTTTGGTTGCCAGGGCCCATTCTGGAATGGAGAGGACAGGCTGTGACACCACAAAGGAGCCCTTGGCACACGGATGGGGTTGAACTGTCACATGGTGGGGGCTTGGTTCTTTGGTTTCCAGAGGCCATTCCAGAATGGGGGCCAAAGGTGGTTTTGCAGAATAAAAGGTCGAAAACGGAAATTCCGCCTCAGAATTCCCACCCGTGGCTCCTGCTCGGAGTTGGCACCTGCTCCTGAAAAAGTTTTGGGGGGGTTCCCCTCGTTATTTTAGGGGTTTGGTGCCCCAGCTGAGCGTTGTTCTGTCACCACTGCTCGCGGTGCTGAAAGGTTATTTTGCAGAATAAAAGGTCAAAAATGGAGATCTCACCCAAAACTGAGGTTGTTTTGGTCAACCAGGTCCTGCTTGGAGTCTGCACCCACTCCCCAGAGGATTTTGGGGGGGTTCTCCCCATTGTTTGGGGTATATTAAATTAGTCATCAATTCACCCCAAATGGTGGGTTTGGGATATAAAAATCAGTTATTAACACAATGATTAGCACACAGTTATTAGTTCACAATTAATAATTGGTGGTTTGGGGGCATCACAAATCATTGGCAATACACCCAAACTGGTTGTTTTTTTGTGTATAACAAAGCAACGATTTTAAAAAGCAGCTTTCAAGCTTCAGTTTTATAAACACTTGCTTTTTATTAATGTGAAACGTTGCAAAACCGGCCCCAAAATCCACCTTTTTCTACTTAAAACGGACACTCCCGACCCCGCTCTCGCAGTCCTCAACCAGGTCCGCGCCCCGCCTTTCCCGCGCTGCCCGCGGGGGGGCGCAGTTCCCAAGCAGGTCCGCCCTGAGGTGGGGGGGGGAAGGGAGGGGGCGGAGCGTGGGGAGGAGCGTCCAATGGGAGTGAGGGGGCGTGGTTTAATCAGCCAATCAGCACGCGCCGAGGGTGAGAAGAGCGGGAGTGATGCAGAAGTATCAGGAAGGTGAGAACGGGCACTAAAAGGCTCCTTTCTCACCCCAAAACCGCCCCCAAACTGTGGCCACCGCAGAAAAAACTTGAAATAAGGCTGAAAATAGTGTGAAAAAAGGCTGATTTACCTCCCACCGAAATAGAGGGCCAAGAGAAGCACCGGCCTGAGCTCCGCCTATTCTCCACCTATTATTAATATGGCTACATAAATGTCATACTCATATAAATATGGCTACATAAATGTTGTCCTCATATAAATATGGCTACATAAATGTTGTCCTCATATAAATATGCATTTAAGGCAAATTGTATAAATATCACTTGCATTTGTGCGAACCTTTTGAGCAAGTTTTCTGTGGTGCAAACCACACTTGTGCTGCTCAAAAGGTCCAAAGGATGGGGGATAGCACCGGTTCCTTGTACCTGATTGTTTGGATTCACCCTGAAAATTTCAGTTGCAGTGCTGGGGTGAAGCTCCCCCATCTGGTCAGAGATTTAGGTTGAAAGTCCCGGTTTGGGGTCTCTTAATTTCCCCTCCCACAGGACGAAGTTGTCAGGGCGGCTGCAGATCCAGTTCTTCTCCGTGTGGCACAGGGACGAGCTGATCCTGCCGTGGTTGAGGTACCCACAGGGCCCCCCACCCCGCACCTCAAACCTGCAAATGGCAACGGGACCAGAGTCAGAAAGGGAAAAGGAAAAGAAGGAAACTCCCCCCCAAAAAAAATTAAGAAGAGCTGGGATTTCCTCTCTGGCAGAGAAGGGCTTTGGCTGGGGGGAGTCTCTAATTCTCTGATCAGGGTTGGGGGGCAGTGACCTCGGCCCATCCCAACCCCCCATGGAAAGCCAGGAGCTGCCTGGACACGGGGCAGGAGAAGGTGCCCATCCCAGGATGGGGCATCCCAGACTCCAGGAAATCCCTGGGGCCCATCCCGGGGCTCCAGCACGGACACAGGGACCCACCTGCCGTTCAAGGCCGTGCCATTGATCCACTCCCAGCCGTTATCCCTCATTCCCAGCCCAATCCAGTGGTTTGCTTCGCCTTTATAGCGCAGAAGGAAGGCCTGGAAGGCAAAGAAACGTTGGCTTTGGCCAGTCTTGCCTTCCCCACCTCCTCTTTCCCTCCTGTGTCCACCCCCAGCCAGACCTGGGGCTTTTCCCAAGGGGTTGGCTCCCGGCTCCAGCACTGGCAGCACTTTGGGGCCAGCCTGGGGGGTTTGGGGCTGGTTTTATCCTCTTGGTTTCCCCGTGTTTCCCACCCCGGTGCTGCTGCAGAGGCTCAAGCCCAGTCCTCACCAGTTCATCCCAGTCCTCACCAGTTCATCCCAGTCCTCACCAGTTCCTCCCTGGTGCTTATGGTGGCCAGTGAAGCTCCCAGGGCCTCACACCTTGCCCGGCCCGTGGTCCAGTTGCCCTCAGCCTCAGAAAAATAATAACATTTTCCTTGGAAACCAGGCCAGGTGTCTGGGCACACGTGGGAGAATTCCGGCTCACGGAAAGGGGGTCTCACACTGAGAACTGAAACACAGAAAGCTGAGTCAGACACGTGGGCAGCCCTGAAAAGCAGCAAAATGGGGTTGATTCCTTGGGGTTTTTTTCCAGCAGCTGGAAGAGGGAAACTGGGGATGATTCTCTTGGGAAATGTGTGACTGAGCGAGGAGCAGGTGTCTGGAGCAAAGTGCAAAGCTCCCACTTTGGGAGCCTCCCTTGATGCTGGGAAAGTCCTGGGATCCTCCCACCTCCCAAAACAGAGGTGCCTGGCCCGGATCCTCCCCATGGGGGTGCCTGGGTGGGACTCACCAGTCACTGCTCCAGCCAGGCTGAAGGTGAGGATCCCCAGGAACACACTCAGAGCCAGGAGAACACGCACTGTGCGTGATGTTCTCCGGTCTGACTCGGTTCTGTAGGACCCTGGGGCAGGAAAGAGCAGTGTGAGGATGGCCTGGCTCCTCTCCCCTCTGCTTTGCCCTCCTGTGCTGGACCCTCAGTCCATCCCGAGCCCCACCCAGAACAGGGACCCCTCTGGGGGCTCAGGAGGGCAGAAGAGCTGAGGGGGGTCCTTCAGAGCCACCAACGTGTGTTTGAGGGCCTGGAGACGGATCTTCAGCCTCCAGAGGTGAATTCCACAGCCTGGAATTCAGTGCAGCTGTGCCTGGGCTGCTCCACACCCACCCAAAGGCTCCATCCCCATCCCACTGGTGCTGCCCCAGAGCGAGATGCTCTTCCCACACCCCGCCCTCCCTCGGAACGTTTGGGGTTTTCCCAGCATTACCCCATTTGGCCTGTTCCTCTGGATCACTGCATGTGTTCAGGGCTTCCTCCTGGCTTGAAGAATTTGGCTTTTGGGTTCCTTTCCCCATCCTTGCAGAGAAGCCTCAGGGCCCGGGGCTGACGTTCCCTGGGCTCTGTGGGGTGGATGCACTCGGCAGCCTGGGGTGGAAGGAGAGGAGAGGCTGAGGGGACCTGCAGGGAGCTGAGACCTCCTGGGCCACAGCCCAGCCAGCCACAACAGCCCCTGTGGGGCTGGCACTGGCTCTCAGCGTTGTCATGGTGCCAAGGGGCACCATCGGGCAGGGCTGAACCCACATCTGGGAGAGGAGGCAGCACAAAGGACAGAGGGAGGGGAGGGGAAGAGATAAGGAATGGAAAGAGAGGGGAGCGGCAAAGATTAAAGAGGGAAAAACAACCCCAACAAATTAAGCAGAAAGAAAAGAGAAATACAAGTTTAAAGGCACTTGAACTATTAAATAAATAAGTCATTGAGAGCTCACAGGTCAAAGGCAGCTGAAGTGTTTGCAGGGGACAGGAGCCTGTTAAGGGCTCAGAAGAGGCACCGAGGGCTCGGAGCAGAGTTTGTGCTTTGGGGCCCTTTTGCAAAAACACACAGGATGGAAAGTAGCCTGTGACAGTTCACAGCACCTGTTCTGCTCAAGTTTTCTGTTTGTGGCTCCCCACAAGCTTGTTTTGCTCACAGGAAACCCTGCTCTGGTTCCTCCTCCTGTGTTGCAGGAGCACAACCTGGTTCCCTGCACCCCCAACCAACAGGGACAGCAGCTTTTGGTCCTCTGGGGTCTTGTGTAAGTTATTACCAGCACCAAATGGACCAACAGAAGCTCATCAGGAACGTGTCCTGATCAAACAGCAATATTTCACTGCAAAAGTGAGCTCTGAAAGCTGCAAAGGTTTGATTGTGGGCAAACAAACATGAAAAAAGCACAAAGCGATTCCCTCAGAGGGGGTTTGCAGGAGGAAACTCAAGGAGTGCTCAGATAACAGCGTTTCCAGAGCAGTGAGAGGGTTAAATTGATAGGAGAAACAAACACAGGATGAGCCAGAAGGGGTGGTGCTTCAGCACCCTGGGGGTTTCCAAAGTTGACAGTAAAAAAGCCAGACATTATGCAAGCTCTGAGCTGGAGCTGAGCCCGAAAGTGGGGGAGGGACCCTTAGATATGAAGAGCTTGTTATTTTATAAACAAAACTATCAGGTGCCTGGACCTGCTTGATATGGCAGAAGCCCCAGTGCACAAGTTCAGACCCCTCATTTCAAGCCAAAATTTCAGTCCTACTTTAATTTCTGCCTCCCAGTGTGACTGAACAAATTCAACAAATTCCCTTAAAAAGACCCCCGAACGTTCACCTTGTAAGACCCCATCTGGTGCAGCCCGAGCTCCTGCTCAGGTTTAATCCCTCCCAAACCCAATTCTGAGCCAGAAACCAGTGCCCTGGTGAAGGTTTTAGTATTTGCAAAACTGAAGTATCAATTTGAATCTAAAAGAGACCCAGTGCATTTCCTGATTCACCCACTCCCACTCTCATTTTTGCTCCTTTATGATGACTAATTTCTGCCTCCCAGTGTGACTGTACAAATTCAACAAATTCCCCTAAAAGGACCCCCGAAGGTTCACGTTGTGAGACCCCCCCTGGTGCAGCCCGAGCTCCTGCCCAGGTTCAATCCCTCCCAAGCCCACCGTGGTTTCCAGCTGGTTCGCTCCAGCTCCCCCCAAAATCACTGTTCATTCCACTCAACTGAAACAAATTAAAGTCCTTTTTGTATCATTATTTACCTCTTTTCACCACGATTTTCTCATTTCTCTTCCCGAGAAGCAACCCCTGTCAGCAACAAGGGGCTGAAAAAAACCCAACAAATTCACTGAAGAAGCTCTTACAAGGCAGCAAAAATGGCAAACCAGCATACCCCGCAGCAGACACTCAAACCAACCCCGTGGTAGCAAAAGCTGTAAAACTGTGACCTTTGGTGTTTACTCCTCCCTGCCCTTCAACGTGCCACGTTTAATTAATCAGGTGGTCATTGCAGCCCCCCCAGAGACAAGACCATGATGTGGGGGCTCAGCCCTGTCCCAGCCGTGGCTCACTGTGGGCAGGGAGCACCCACCACCCCGAGTTTGGCAGCCCAGGGGCTGCTCTGGAGTACTCACCTCGCAGGGCAGCTGTCAATGGGTGGCTGATTTCTCGGAACTGAGTCTGTTGAGCCACAGACAGGACGGGAGTCAAACACAGAGGCGTGGTTTTCAGTTTACAGCTCTTTGGCTGTTTTGCTGTTCTCCAACAACTCTCAGTGTGGTTCATTTTTGAAGGAACAAAGTCCATTTTTTGCACCTTGCTTACTTACAAATATTTAAGAGTTCCCAACCAAGGGATCTGTGATGGGCTGGCCCTGGTTGGTGCCAGATGCTGCTCTGTCACCCCCCTCCTCACCCGGGCAGGGGACAGAATTATTCCAAACTGTCACCTCGTGAAAGCTGCACAGTTTGGAGCCAGAAGAAATGAGAAGCTCTTGGGGATGTATGACCAGCATTGTGACATCTGAGAAACCCAGGGGGAGGCTGTTGGCTGAAGGGGTCCCACGTGGTTGCTCATAAGGCTGGGATGGAGGCTCTGCACTTTAAATACCATAAAAGATGGACCGGAATGCACCCAACCAAGCACAAATATTGACATAATAATACTTATGACCTTGTTATACAGCCTTTCATTAATATGGGGAATTGTTTCCGTGAAGAAAAGCTCAACAGTCGTGATGAGGGGAGTGGGGAAAGGTATCTCAGGATTGTGCCCAGTGGCTCCTGCCCCGGCAGTTTGGAGCCCAGGGGCACCGAGCGCTGGCACAGCCCATTTGTGTTACTGCTTGTAAAATGTGCCGGGGACTGGCAGGAAAAGCAGCTGCGCGCGTCGAAACTGTTTCCCGGCATTTCTTGGCTCTGCAGGGGCGTTAAAATCTCTGCGAGGGGTTCCCACCGCCCGCGTCTGAAAGAGCCGCAGCGAGCGTGGGAACAGAAGAAAAGACAAGAAATAGAGTAAAACAGAATAAAAGGCTGCACCGAGGGGTCCCCCCGCCCCGTGTCACTGAACGGGCGGTGTCGGGGGTGGTCAGAAGGGCTGCGCCGAGCGGGGTGGGAGCTGTGAATAAAATATAGAAAATAGAATTAAACGCGACAGCAGAGCCGCAGCGGTGCTGCAGGAGCTGCCCGGAGGGACAGACAGACCCTGCCTTGGCTCGTGGGACCCACCCCGTGTCACTGAAGCGCTGCGACGAGGGACGGGCGAGGAGCGGCGGCGGCGAAAGGGCCGCCCCGGGGCGGGGAGATGGGGGGGTTGAACGGAAAAAAAAGAGAGAGAAGGCAATAAAAGACCCGCACGGGGGGTGACCGAAACAGCGGCACCGGTGGGAGGTGGGAATCGGGGGGTTGTTCGCAACCGGCTCCCCCGGAAAGTGAATTTTACAAGTCATTTTTAGTTTTTATTCTTTTCGCAGTTCGATTTCTCCTCCGCCTCCCCCCCCCGCCCTCGCCTCGCCCACCCAGGGCGACTTTCCCCGGCCGCGGTCCTGCCCCTGTCCCGGAAGCTGTCCCGTGGGTGCCGAACCCGCGGGAATCGGGATTTTCTCCCGCGTTAACAGTGGGTTTTGGGTGCGGTGGAGGCTCAGATCCGGGCGGACTCCGTCTGGCAGATCCACTGCAGCCCCGTGTCGCAGGCGCGGGGGTCGATCCTGTCCCCCTTGAGCGCCCCGCAGGCTCCGGGACCCTCCCCGAGGTCCTGCGGGAACCTGCGTGTGCGGGAGGGGGCCCGTGTCATCCCCGGGGGGCCCTCGGGGGACAGGGGGGTGCCCACCCCGACCCCCCAGCGCTCCTCACCGGCTCCAGTCCGGGCGGGAGCCGTTCACCCACGTCCAGCCCATCCCGGGCGCGGGCACCGAGAGCCCGATCCAGAAGTGGCGCGTGGGTTTCCTCAGGGTCTCATTGAGGGAATCCTGGCCCGGGGAAAGGGGCAGTGGTGGCGCTGCCGGGCCGGGGATGGTCACCCTAAAATAGGCTCCGTCCTCACCCCGGGACCGAGCCAGACCCATGTCCCTCCCCCCCGGTCTGCCACGGGCACCGCGGGGAATGAGGGGTGTGATCCCAGGCTTCTGGGGAGCCCTTCGCCCTCCCCTGGGGTGCCTCCAGCCCCTCTGTCCCCTCGGTCCCTTCACCAGCTCGTCCTTGTCCCACGGCATCGCCATCGCGGCCCCGCGGTCCCCGCAGTCCTCCCGGCTCCCGTGCCACGAGTTCATCCTTTCCGAGACCCAGTAACACTTGGTCCTGCCCAGCATCCAGCCCACGGGGCAGAGCCTGCACCCCTCGGCCTCTGTGGGACAGAAAGACAGACAGACAGACAGATGGACCCTGGCGCGCTGAGGTACCGTGGGAGGACAGGGAGAGGCTCCAGCCCGGCTTAAGTTTGGGGAGGGGGCATCGATGGGACCCCCGGGGGGTGGGGGGTTACCTCGCAGGGGGCACAGGATCCTCCTCAGCTCCCTGAAGGTGCCGTCCAGGCTGGCACAGGGGGGTCCCAGGGAGGTGTTCCCCCACCCCAAGGTCGCCTCGGGCTGTGCCCTCTCTGCCACCCACCAGGACACTGGGACAGGAGGTTGCCCAGCCCTGTCAGGGGCGCTGGGGGGGTGGGAAGGGGCAGAGGGGTCCGGGTGCCCCTTCCCACCCCCCAAACTCACCACACAGCACCAGGGACAGCGCCAGGGCAGTCGTGAGGGCCCCGAGGAGGCAGCGGGGGCAGCGCAGGGGGGCTGTGGGGGGGACCCCCCGGGGTTCTGGAAAGCCAGATCCTACAGTTGGGGGGTGGAAAAGAGCACCCATCACCTCCTCACCCACCCAGAGCCCGGGGCAGGGGGTCCTGGGGCAAAGTGCCCTGGTGAGACCCCCCCCCCCCCAAACCCCTGCAGCCCCCCCTGCCCAGGAGCAGGAGGAGCTGGGTGCCCCCAAAAAATCCCTCTGCTCCCGCTGTTGGGGGGTCCCAGCTCGGGGGGTGGGACAGCAGCCAAACACAGCCTCGAGAAAACCCCCCAGCCCCTCCTCCCTCAATTCCTGCCTCAGTTTCCCCACCCTGAGTAGCTCTTGGGGACCCCAGGGGTGACATCACCCCAACCCCCCGACTTCCTCTTCCCCCCCCGACCTGGGGGGGGCCAGCGGACACGACCCCCCCCAGTACCTGCCCCCCGGGGAGGACGGGGGGCTCCCCGCAGCCCCTCGTTTCCTCCACTGCTCTAAGGCCATGTAACCGTCCTGGTCCTCCATGTCCCGCCGCTCAGCGCCGGGGACCCGCAGTGGTCACAGGAGGAAGGGACAGGAAGCCAAAGCGCCGCTGCCCCCCCGGGCTGGTGTGAACTGGCAGCGGGTTCGGAGCTTCCTGTACCCAAACCAAAGCCCCACAACTGCTGGGGGGACTCGTCCTGACGGCCCCTTGAGGGATGGGGGGGTCGGGGGTCTGTGCCCAGAGGAAGGAAACCCACGGGAAGGGACAAGGAGGACAAGGAGCCACAGCATGAGGTGCTGGGAGAGAGAAACCACTCCTCACACCCCCCTCCTAAAAATGGTGAAAATAAGAGATCAAGGTGTTGATCGAGATCTCTAAGAGATAAGAATCGATAAAATATCATCAAAAGGAGTGCAAAATGAGAGAATTGCTCAATAAAGCACCAGTTCTGTCCAAAAATAGACACAGTTTCACAGAGCTCATGCCTGGTTTTCCCAGCCATGTCTGTATGGTAACATCGGCTCAGCAGGAAGCCCCACTTCTCTTGACCTCTAATGAGGAGCAATTTTATTAGGCTAATTAGCCACTGATGAATTAGTCCCTGATCTCCTTTTTTTCTCTGCCAGGCACAGGCCAGCACGGGCTCCACAGGCTGCTGGGCTGCTGCGTCCTGCTGGGGCTTGACCCATCGGTTTTATTTGCCCCAAAAAGGGAAAACGGCCCCGAATCCCTTTGCTCGAGTGGAGGAGGGGGAGAGAGTTCGGGCAGAAAACTCCAAAAATCCGTTTTGCCCAGCCTGGGAAGAACAAACCACCCAGAAGTGAGGTGGGACCTCCCAGCAGCCCTTGTGTGCCGTCTCCCCCCCGAAGCCCTCCCCGGGGTGCTGGAGGGTGACTGGGCACACTGGGAGCACTGGGAAGGGGCTCAGCCTCCCGTCACCCCCGGGAGCTCCAAGGCTCCGAGAGCCGGGATGGAACGCGGCGGAGGGAGAAGGGGAAGGGACAGGGCTGCCGGCGCTGGACGGGGCACGAGGGACACGTGGGGAAGGCAATAAACAGTAAAACGATGACGAAAGAAAAAACTCGGCGGCGGCGAAAGGGCCAGTGAGTCACACACGTCCCGTTTCACACCCACACGGCAGAGCCAGGGAGGGAGATCGGAGAACAGCCAATGGGAAGCGTCGGAGAGCCCCCGTCAGCCAATGGGAAGTGTCGAAGGGCCCCCGTCAGCCAATGGGAAGCGACGGAGAGCCCCCGTCAGCCAATGGGAAGCGACGTGTCCTGATGCCAATTAAACCACACTGAGAAGCTGCTGGAGAAGAGACAAAATGAACTGAAATTGCGTCAGTTGTGAAAGTTTTATCCTAGTTTATGACTAAACCGACCCTACCGCGAAATCTCACAGTCACTGAGAGCTGCCCTGCGAGGTGAGTACTCCAGAGCAGCTCCTGGGCTGCCAAACTCGGGGTGGTGGGTGCTCCCTGCCCACAGTGAGCCACGGCTGGGACAGGGCTGAGCCCCCACATCATGGTCTTGTCTTTGGGGGGGCTGAAATAACCACCTGATTAATTAAACGTGGCACATTGAAGGGGAAGGGGGGAATAAATCCCAAAAGTCACAGTTTTACAGCTGGGTTTAGTGAGGCTTTTGCTGCCGTGGGGTTGGTTTGAGTGTCTGCTGCAGGGTTGGGCTGGTTTGTCATTTTTGCTGCTTCTTCAGTGGTTTTGTTGGGGCTTTTTCAGCCCCTTGTTGCTGACAGGGGTTGCTTCTCGGGAAGAGAAATGAGAAAGTCGTGGTGAAAAGAGGCAAATAATGATATAAAAAAGACTTTAATTTGTTTCAGTTGAGTGGAATAAACAGTGATTTTGGGGGGAGATAACCAGCTGGAAACCACGGTGGGCTTGGGAGGGATTGAACCTGGGCAGGAGCTTGGGCTGCACCAGGGGGGGTCTCACAATGTGAACCTTTGGGGGTCCTTTTAAGGGAATTTGTTGAAGTTGTACAGTCATCATAAAGGAGCAAAAATGACAGTGGGAGTGAGTGAATCAGTAACTGCACTGGGTCTCTTTTAGCTTCAAATTGACACTTCAGTTTTGCAAATGTTAAAACCTTCACCAGGGCACTGGTTTATGGCTCAGAATTGGGTTTGGGAGGGATTAAACCTGGGCAGAAGCTCGGGCTGCACCGGGGGGGGTCTTACAAGGTGAACGTTCGGGGGTCTTTTTAAGGGAATTTGTTGAATTTGTACAGTCAACATTTGTGACGCAGAAATTAAAGTAGGACTGAAATTTTGGCTTGAAATGAGGGGTCTGAACTTGTGCACTTGGACTTCTGCCAAGTCACAAGATATGACTTCCTTTCATTTCTGAGCTTTGTCCTGTTCAGCTTTGGAAACCTTGAGGGTGCGGAAGCACCACCCTCTTCTGGCTCATCCTGTTTTTGTTCCTTTCTCCTACCAATTTAACCCTCCCACTGCTCTGGAAACGCTGTTATCTGAGCAGGTCCTTGAGTTTCCTCCTGCAAATCCCCTCTGAGGGAACCGCTTTGTGTTTTTTTTACATCCATTTACTGACAAACAAACCTCTGCAGTTTTCAGAGCTCACCTTGCAATGAAATATTGCTGTTTTATCGGGACACATTCCTGACGAGCTTCTGTTGGTCCATTTGGTGCTGGTAATGACTTAAACAAGACCCAAGAGGACCAAAAGCTGCTGCCCCTGTTGGTTGGGGGTGCAGGGAACCAGGTCGTGCTCCTGTAACAGAGGGCACGGGGAGGGGGGGGAACCAGAGCAAAAGAAGCTCGTGTGGAGCCACAAACAGAAAACCCGAGCAGAACAGGTGCTGTGAACTGTTACAACCTACTTTCCACCCTGTGTGTTCTTGCAAAAGGGCCCCCAAAGCACAAACTCTGCTCCGAGCCCCCGGTACCTTTTCCCCCCCTGAGCCCTGAACAGGCTCCTGTCCCCTGCAAACCTGTGAGCTCTCAATGACTTATTTATTTAATAGTTAAAAGTGCCTTTAAACTTGTCTTTTTCTTTCCTTTCTGCTTAATTTGTTGGGGTTTTTTTCCCCTCCTTAATCTTTCTCCCTCCCCTCTCTTTCCCTTCCTTACCTTTTCCCCTCCCCTCCCTCTGTCCTTTGTGCTGCCTCCTCTCCCAGATGTGGGTTCATCCCTGCCAGATGGTGCCCCTTGGCACCAAGATAACGCTGAGAGCCAGTGCCAACCCCACAGGGGCTGTTGTGGCTGGCTGGGCTGTGGCCCAGGAGCTCTCAGCTCCCTGCAGGTCCCCTCAGCCTCTCCTCTCCTTCCACCCCAGGCTGCTGAGTGCATCCACCCCACAGAGCCCAGGGAATGTCAGCCCTGGGCCCTGAGGCTTCTCTGCAAGGATGGGGAAAGGAACCCAAAAGCCAAATTCTTCAAGCCAAGAGGAAGCCCTGAAAACCTGCAGTGATCCAGAGGAACAGGCCAAATGGGGTAATGCTGGGAAAACCCCAAACGTTCCGAGGGAGGGCAGGGGGTGGGAAGAGCATCTCGCTCCGGGGCGGCACCAGTGGGGGGGCCTGGATGGGCGTGGGTGGGGCTGGGAATGGACTGAGGGTCCAGCACAGGAGGGCAAAGCAGAGGGGAGAGGAGCCAGGCCATCCTCACCCTGCTCTTTCCTGCTCCAGGGTCCTACAGAACCGAGTCAGACCGGAGAACATCCCCCAAGGTGCGTGTTCTCCTCGCTCAGAGTGTGTTCCTGGGGATCCTCAGCTTGAGCCTGGTCGTGGCACTGACTGGTGAGTCCCACCCAGGCACCTCCATGGGGAGGATCAGGGCCAGGCTCCTCCGTTTTGGGCAATTGGAGGATCCTTGGACTTTCCCGGCATCAAGGGAGGCTCCCAAAGTGGGTGACTCCCTTTTTTCCCTGCACTTTGCTCCAGGCACCTGCTCCTCACTCGGTCACACCTTTTCCAAGAGCATCATCCCCCAATTTCCTCTTCCAGCTGCTGGAATAAACCAAGGAATCAAACCCATTTTGCTGCTTTTCAGGGCTGCCCACGTGTCTGACTCAGCTTTCTGTGTTTCAGTTCTCAGTGTGAGACCCCCTTTCCGTGAGCCGGAATTCTCCCACGTGTGCCCAGACACCTGGCCTGGTTTCCAAGGAAAATGTTATTATTTTTCTGAGGCTGAGGGCAACTGGACCATGGGCCGGGCAAGGTGTGAGGCCCTGGGAGCTTCCCTGGCCACCATAAGCACCAGGGAGGAACTGGTGAGGACTGGGATGAACTGGTGAGGACTGGGATGAACTGGTGAGGACTGGGCTTGAGCCTCTGCAGCAGCTCCGGGGTGGGAAACACGGGGAAACCAAGAGGATAAAACCAGCCCCAAACCCCCCAGGCTGGCCCCAAAGTGCTGCCAGTGCTGCAGCCGGGAACCAACCCCTTGGGAAAAGCCCCAGGTCTGGCTGGGGGTGGACACAGGAGGGAAAGAGGAGGTGGGGAAGGCAAGACTGGCCAAAGCCAACATTTCTTTGCCTTCCAGGCCTTCCTTCTGCGCTATAAAGGTGAAACAAACCACTGGATCGGGCTGGGAATGAGGGATAACGGCTGGGAGTGGATCAATGGCACGGCCTTGAACGGCAGGTGGGTCCCTGTGTCCGTGCTGGAGCCCCGGGATGGGCCCCAGGGATTTCCTGGAGTCTGGGATGCCCCATCCTGGGATGGGCACCTTCTCCTGCCCCGTGTCCAGGCAGCTCCTGGCTTTCCATGGGGGATTGGGATGGACCGAGGTCGCTGCCCCCCAACCCTGATCAGAGAATTAGAGACTCCCCCCAGCCCAAGCCCTTCTCTGCGGGAGGGGAAATCCCAGCTGTTCTTAATTTTTGGGGGGAGTTTTCTTCTTTTCCTTTTCCCTTTCTCACTCTGGTCCCATTGGCATTTGCAGGTTTGAGGTGAGGGGTGTGGGGCCCTGTGGGTACCTCGATGACTGGTGGATCAGCTCGTCCCTGTGCCACAGGGAGAAGAACTGGATCTGCAGCCGCCCTGACAACTTCGTCCTGTGGGAGGGGAAATTAAGAGACCCCAAACCAGGACTTTCAGCCTAAATCTCTGACCAGATGGGGGAGCTTCGCCCCAGCACTGCAACTGAAATATTCAGGGTGAATCCAAACAATCAGGTACAAGGAACCGGTGCTATCCCCCATCCTTTGGGCCTTTTGAGCAGCACAAGTGTGGTGTGCACCACAGAAAACTTGCTCAAAAGGTTCGCACAAATGCAACTGGTATTTATACAATTTGCCTTAAACGCATTTTTATATGAGTACGACATTTGTGTAGCCATATTTATATGAGGACAACATTTATGTAGCCATATTTATATGAGGACAACATTTATGTAGCCATATTTATATGAGTATGACATTTATGTAGCCATATTAATAATAGGTGGAGAATAGGCGGAGCTCAGGCCGGTGCTTCTCTTGGCCCTCCATTTCAGTGGGGGGTAAATCAGCCTTTTTTCACACTGTTTTCAGCCATATTTCAAGTTTTTTCTGCGGTGGCCACGGTTTGGGGGCGGTTTTGGGGTGAGAAAGGAGCCTTTTATTGCCCATTCTCACCCTCCTGGTACTTCCGCATCACTCCCGCTCTTCTCACCATCGGCGCGTGCTGATTGGCTGATTAAACCACGCCCCCTCACTCCCATTGGCCGCTCCTCCTGTAAGGGGGGTACTTTTGAATTAGATGATCAATGGAGCATGGAGGCGTGAGAAAGGAATCATATTAGGATGTGAAACCAGCCAGAGTATGGTACAATGTAACTTCATGGCACAAGCTAATTGGAAGGTCCATTGTGCTTTTTAGCAAGTCAGCTTGATATCCCCTATTATCAGAGCTGAGTTCTTCCTTGGTTTGCCACATACTGCAAGATGGATACATCTACCCTGGAAACACAATGGTAGAGGTCATCCATAGGGGTGAGAAAGATGATGATGGGAGGAAGATGATGTGGGCAGGGGTCGCTGGCCCCTTGCCCTCCAAGTAGGGCAGGCACAGACTGTTGCCATGAGGTGATGATCAGGCGGGGTTTGGCTGCCATTCAGGCATCACCTTATACTGGGTACTGGCCCCACGTGGTGTAATGTGGAACTGATCAAATGGGGTGTCGGGACTGCTGAGCTGAGCGATCCTCATCCTACCACCGAGCCTGTTGCTCCGCGGGGACGCCCGCTAAGCACGGGCACCGACCAGCTGCTGCAGATCCTGACAGCCCTGGCCTGTCTGTGGGGGTCAGCACAGTTTATTGACAGGAAGCAACTGAGAGAACAAACTTTTTAATATCCCTTTAGTGTCACTTCAGTTCCCCTTTTATTATTGAATATTGTTACTTAAATAAGTTGTTCACAGTATTTCCCTTTAGTTTCCCTTTTTACTAACCAATATTGTGTTAATAGTTATCCATAATATTGTGTTAAGATCCCTTTTTTGGTATCCCTTTAACCCCCTTTTTTCACTGGTTAATACTGTATTAGATGCTGTTTGTAGTATTTGTTTTTAAGGCCACACAATAAGATATTTTGTAGCCTTTTTTAGCTTTTGATTCTCTTGGCTAAGATGATTATTATTATTATTCTCAGTGTAATAAAAGATATTTTTTGTGTTTGAATATTTCTGGCACTTGTCTTTATTCCAGACATGTATCCAAAGGAACTGTCTTTTCCCTAGATAGGGAGAGCCTCAGTAACTGTCTGTGTTAGTTTTGTCTTCATCTCTGGTTTCTCTAAGGTTCTTTGTGGTTTAGAAATTCTGCCTTCTTGGTGTCCAGGTCTCAAAAAGAGATTTCTCTGCCAGGTCTCTGACCACTGAAATATGGCAGGCCTTAAGCTTTTACTTTGTTTTTCTAACAAATGGCCATGGCCCAGAACTTGTCCATCATCCATTGTCTATTGCCCCATTCAATCTCCTGCCAGCAGTTTCTCCCCACTGCTGGGTGGGCTCCTTTGTCAAGCACTAGAACTTGTTGGGTAACAGGCCCAGTCCTGTTGCCTATTTTTCGTGGGGATGTGCAGGAGGGCATTGAGTCTTCCATGAGCAAATTGGCAGAGGACCCCAAGCTGGCTTGCAGTGTGGATGTGCTGGAGGGGAGGAAGGCCGTGCAGAGGGACCTGGACAGGCTGGACCTCTGGGCCGAGCCCGTGGGCATGAGGTTCAAGAGTGCCTTTGGTGCCTTTGGAGCCTCTGGTCACAAGAACCCCCTGCAGCTCCAGGCCGGGGGCAGAGGAGCTGCAAAGGGTCCCCGTGGGAGAGCCCTGGGGGTGCTGGTGGACAGAGGTTGAACCTGAGCCAGCGGGTGCCCGGGTGGGCAAGAAGGCCAAGGGCAGGCTGGCCTGGATCAGAAAGAGGGTGGCAGCAGGAGCAGGGCAGTGATGCTTCTGCTGGACTGGGCACTGGTGAGGCCACCCCTGGAGTGCTGTGTCCAACTCTGGGCCCCTCAATTCAGGGAGAACCTTGAGGGGCTGGAGTGGGTGGAGAGCAGGGCAATGGAGCTGGGCAAGGGTCTGCAGTGCATGGCCTGTGAGGAGCAGCTGAGGGAGCTGGGCTTCTCCAACCTGGAGAAGAGGAGGCTCGGGGCTGACCTTCTCCCTGTCCACAACTTCCTGACAGGAGGCTGGAGCCAGGTGGGGGTCAGCCCCTTCTCCGAGGCAACAGGCGACAGGACAAGAGGACACGAGGACCTGCCTGTCAGGGGCTGTTTGTCAGGGACAGGAGCAGGACTTTTTGGAGAGAAACAGGGATTAGGTATTGAAATGGGCTGCCCAGGGAGGTGGTGGAGTCAGCGTCCCTGGAGGTGTTTAAGCAAAGACTGGCCATGGCACTGAGTGCCGTGGTCTGCTTGACGTGCTGGGGATGGGGCGTAGGCTGGACCCCGGCTGATCTCACAAGTCTCTGCCAAGCTCAGGGACTCTGGGCTTCTGTGCCAGCCCAGCCTTTGGGGACAGCGTGCTGGTGGCTCCGAGGCTCCGTCCTTGCCTTGCCTTGCCCATCTCCTGGCTGCCAGGCAAGGGCCTTGTGACATCACAGCCTCTGTGGAACAGCGCGGGGGCTGAAAACTGTCAGTGCTGCGTCCCCGTGCCCAGAGCCTGGGCAGAAGTCGGCTGGCAGGGACGGGCAGAGACTGTGCAGAGGTGTCAGCTCGTCCCGCAGCAGCACGATGCCCAGCCAGGGCATCTCCTGGCTCCTCAGGCTCTCGCTGCTCCTGCTCTTGCCTGGCCCACTCGAGCCTTGCAGCCGTGCCACAGGTGCCATTGCTGAGAACTGGGCTTTTCCTTGGATGGCCCCTTGCCAGCAAAGGCAGGAGAGGCTGGAGAGAGGGGAAGGAGGGGGGTCAGGCCGCTGGGATGGTGCCGGCGGGCTGTGAGCCCGAAGCCAGCAAGGCCTTGGGCCCACACGGTGTCAGGGGAGGACTGAGAGCCCCCAGGGAGGAGGAAAGCTGGGCAGGCCCCAAGGCTGCTGGGCCTCTTCCTTGCCAGCCCTTTGGCCAAGGCCCCGAGGCAGAGGTGGGGCTCAGCCCCTGCCCAGCAATGGGGCACAGGCTGAGCCCCAGGGACACCAGAGCCAGGCGGCCTGAGCTCTTCTTCCTGCAGCGTCTGCCTGGGGCAGCCCAGCCAGGCCTGAGTCTCTGCAGGAGAGGCCAAGCCCAGCCAGAGAGGGCTCAGCCCTCTGAGGCTGCACTCACTGCAAAGGGAACAAAACATTGGCCCACAGGACATCCTGCCCCCAAATGGAGAACTGGAAAGGTCAAGAATAAAAAAGTCACCCCCCTCCATTCTTCAAGAAATGTTTAGAGCTCTTTCCTAAAAGCATCCAGGACTCGGGTCACCCAATTTTCTCTCTGACAAGGGTTTTCCATGGTTCCCCTCAATTCCCAGGTTCAAAGGGGTCCCAGCACACTTTCGGATGTGTTGGATGCCGTGTTGGGGTGCAGATGTCCCCCCAAAGCTCTCCCAGAACAGGGTGACACAAGGGGGGGGCACAGAGGGGTCCCCATTCCTGATCCATCCTGGAGTAACCACACTGGGGGCAACTGGGATCAGAGTGGGAGCAGCTGGGCCCCTGCTGGGCTCATACTGGGATCATACTGGGAGTGACTGCAAGTTTTTGGGATCATACTGCGTGTGACTGGACTCATAGTGGGAGCAACTGGGACCATGCAGGGGCAAATGGCATCGTCCAGGCAGAGACTGAAAGTGCCTGGGGCCATACTGGACTCAGACTGGGAGTCCCTGAGAGGGAAAGGAACCATCATGGGGGGGGAATGGGAATAACTGAGACCACCTTGGGGGCAACTGGGATCCTCTTGGGAGTGACTGGGAGTGACTGGGATCATAGCGGGAGTGACTGGGAGTGACTGGTATCCTACTGAGAGTGACCAGGACCATACTGGAACCATCCTGGGAGTGACTGTCAGTGACCAGGATCATACTGGGAGCAACTGGGATCATGCTGGCAGCACAAAGGACAGAGGGAGGGGAGGGGAAAGGAGAGAGGAGGGAAAGAGAGAGGAGGGGGACTTTTAGAAAGGATAAAGAGGAAAGAAAGACAAAAAAATAAGAAAAATAAGAGAAAAAGGCAAGTTTAAACATTCAGTAAATGTGTGAGTCACTGAGAGCTCCCAGGTCAAAGGCAGGGGAAGTGTTTGCAGGGGACAGGAGCCTGTTCAGGGCTCAGGAGCTGCTGCTGCCCAAAGGGAGGAAACGCCCCGAGGGCTCGGAGCAGAGTTTGTGCTTTGGGGCCTTTGCCAAGAACCCGCAGGAGGGAAAGCAGTTCCAGCCAGGGGGGCCCAGGGGCTCCCAGCACGGGCCCAGGGGCTCCCAGTCACCCCCAGGATGGGCCCAGTCACCCCCAGGATGATCTCAGTCACTTTTAGTCACGCCCAGTCTGATCCCAGCATGATCCCAGTCACTCCCAGTCTGATTCCATTCTCTCCTAGTAGGATCCAAGTTACCCCCTGCAAGTTCCCAGTTGCTTCCAGTCAGTCCCAGTATAATCCCAGTCAGTCCTGGTGTCTCCCACTATATCTCAGTTGCCCCCAGTGTGGTCCCACTCACTGCCGATCATTTCCAGTAGCTTCCAGCATGATCCCAGTTGCTCACAGCCACTCCCAGTCACCCCCAGTGTGGTCCCAGTCACTCCCAGGATGGTTGCAGACTCTCCCAGTAGATCCCAGTTGCCCTCAGCATGCTCACAGTCATACCCAGTTACTTCCACTTGCCTCAGGATGCTTCCAGTTCCCATCAGTACGATCCCAATCACTCCCAGTCACTCCCACTCTATGCCAGTTGCCTCCAGTATGCATCCTGGCACTCCCAGTCACTCCCAGTTCCACCATACTTCCACCATGGCCCCATTGGCTGCCAGTTCCACCCGTGTGTATTTTTACTCACTCCCAGTATGATCCTGGGCACTGACAGTCACTCCCAGGATGGTTCCAGTATGGCCTTGGTCACTCCCACTATGATCCCAATCACTCCCAGTCACTCCCAATTGGATCCCAGTTACCACCAAGGTGGTCCCAGTTGCTTCCAGTATGATCCCAGTTGCCCCCCGTGTGGTTCCAGTTGCTCCCATTCACCCCTACTGTGCTTCCAGTCACTCCCAGTATCATCCCTGTCACTCCCAGCCATTCCCAGTAGATCCCACTTGCCTCCAACAGGCTCCCAGTCACCCCCAGTATCATCTCAGTCACTTTTAGTCATGCCCAGTATCATCCCACTATGATCCCAGTCACTCCCAGTA